TAGACAGGAAGCTTAGGTTTACTGAAGTCAGACCTGACAGAGGCAGACCACCAAGCTTCTCTCTTAACCCTGTCACTGGTTGCTTGAGTAACTTGCCATAGGTGATTGAGTCGCAGGGTACCACATGCGTTTCTTCTCATCTCATTTCTTCTTCCCCCTTCCATACTTATTTTGCTCCAAGAAGAGAACTTTAAAAAGCATAAATGAGGACTCTTCATCGACTGCCTTCCCCCTGACCAGCAGTTATTTTGTCTAATACTTCTTGTTAGATGTAAGGAAGGCAGGCACCTAACATGGGCTGCACTGCTCAATCTCTGCTTCAGGCTCCCTGTTCTTGTTAGCACATACTGGCTTCTATACATATGCAGAAATCTGGACAGCAGTTTAAGGGAATGGAGTCAGGAATCCCACAGTCTTCACGACAACAAGCAGAAACAAAAAGCAGTTGGCAAGGAGTAATAAATTACCCAGCATTCAAGAAAGTCAGATTGAGAAGTAGCACTGCAAATTCCTTTCATCCAGGCAGGGATTTTCAAGAGAAGTTTAAAGACCTGTTAATATTCTTCTCATTAAAAACACTGCTCTCAAAGTCTTTCACTAAGTGTTAGGCAACATTTAAAAATCAAAACTTCTTTATGTTAAACTAACATCTGTTACTGCTCTCCTTTTGACCCTACAATCTCCCATGTAAGAGAAAAAAGGGGGAAAAAGGCAAGAAAAGGAAAATGCAAATGCTGTGAAAAAAAATGAAAGAGCAGAGAAAAGGATCTGGAACCTAGAAGAAGAATAGTATCAAGGGTTTCAAATCTTAAATGAGACAGAAAGTCTTAGCTTCAGAGCCTGCAGCATCTCCCAAACATCAAGAAAACAGGAAAGAATTTAGCAGAAAAAAAGCAGCAACCATTTCCATTTTGTCCTTCCAACTTAAAAGCCTTTCTCCAGCTCACGTTTTTCAAATATAATTCACTGATTTTAGACCTAGAAATAACCACTTAAAATTGATGTGTTCACTGCACATTAATTTGTTGTCTGCCTGAATAACAGAAGATCAGAAGCTGTTAGACTGTACCTCCACAACTTCACAGGTAAGGTGAGAATACTAGCAACACTAAAAAGACAAGTGGGAATGCAGAGAGAAAAATTTTATTATACATAAACATTCTGTGCACAAACATACATATTTCATATTTTTCTATGTAGAGTCTAAGACAATGATAAAGTAAAGAAGACTCTGAATGATAAGCGTTTTGGCTAAACCCTTCTTCTGACAGTGTTTAAACTCCATTAAGACATCTGACTGCATACATTACACTGCTGAATTTAGGCATGAACCCTTATGAAAGGATATTTTGATGCTCCATTGAAGTAAAAAACCTGCTAATCAGAAAATAAGTATCTGCAGCAAGAAAAAGATGGCACATACATATCTGTTTTGACCCAAAACTAGAGGCTAAGGCATCTGGAAATTATCGCTTGACTTGACGACTTTTATACAAAGTATTTTGTTATAAAACTAAGCAACCTCAGTGTAATACTGCTGGTTACAGAAGCAATACATGCTTCTATAAAATGGACAATTATTATCTTGTTCATCATTAAGTCCAGCACTCAGTTCTAGATTTCTTACCTGACCTAATCTAACAGAGCCTGGGAAATGAAAGAGGAACGAGGTTGGTTTGCAGATAGTGAAGGCAGGAAAAGTTTGTTACCATTTGCACAAAAAAGCTTTTCAGAAGTCAAAAGACAGAACACTTTTAGACGTCCTTGAGCAGAAAAATACTTTCTGCAGGCAACACATAATACATCCAACATCCAACTCCTGAGCAGAATGTTATTCATTTATACCATCATCGAGGGTAATAACTAATCAGTGCTAGCTGTCCTTAGAAAGGTTGTATAGAAGGACATACTGTGACTTTAAGATGAGATAAAATGGCATAAATGAAAACAAAACTCACTGTTCCTTTCTTGCATTTCAGCCATCTTTCTCCCGTTTTTGGCTTACAGTGAGCGTGCTTCAGTCTATTTTAGCAAATTACAATTTTGTTAAATCAGCAGTAATGCTAAAGTAGCAATGTATTTAGAAATACTGGGTAGTTTTCTATAGGATTACTGTGTTACTTAAATTAAAGCTCTGTATCAAAAACAGGACATTTAAGTTTTAGGGGCTCTTTCATAACATTTTATGATGATTAGACCACATTTTGTCCTATTTGCTACAGATCTTAGTCTTACTTTGTTTAATTGTTTCAACATTTAGTATAGCTTAATTCTAATTCATCTATTTTACTGGCCAGGATGACTCAATCATTCAGAATGGACATTAGTCCATAAAAATGTATTCCACAGTGGTTGCATATTCCAAAATAAAACCTTGAAACAAAAAATTTCCAAACCTACTCAACTTTAATCTACATGTCCTTAGGCAAATGTCTACTGACTGGGACATAATAATATATATAATGGGAAAACTCAGTAACTATATTACGTACCTAAAAGGAATTAAAGTATATATGTCAAAAGCTAAAATGGCAATTTAGAATACCCTTATAAAATACAGTATTGTAGTGTTTTTCTCTCTAGCTGAGTGTGTTTTCCTCATTGCAACAACCAGGCACAGAGCAAATTAAAAAGCAAAATATTCCATAAAACTGTCATAATTGGCAGACACCTTCCCGCCCCCAAATATAACACTGAAAGAAGTACCCTTTTGAAAGGTGAGCAATCTACTCAAACACACACTTGTTCAGGAATTCAAAGGAAGACTTCTCTTAAGGCTGTTGCATTACCCTGTTGCATTACCAAAACTGCTTGGCTAGCAACACTGACAGCTCTTAAAGACAAGATGAGCAGCACTCAGATTCCACCTGAGCATCAGGTGCTCAGTAACAGAACAACACAAGGCAGGATTTTTTAGTCCCCATTGCTGCAGAACTAACAACAAGTCAGCTCAGAAACTTACTGCAGCACACCACAGAAAACATCTCACCTTTCTGATCTAGTTTTTCATTCCAAGAAGGAATGTAAGGGGTTATTGGGGATGAAATCTCCTCAATTCTTAGAAGGAAGCCATTCAGTTCTCTGTTGCTCTAGCTAATAAGATGTCCTGCAAGCTGCAAAAGGCCTAGAACTAGTCTGTTACCTAAAAAAGCCATACCTATTTCTTTAAATGTCTGCCTTCCTTATAGAAAGAAGGGGCTTGCTATGCTACACACAGAGCAAACTGCAAACTCACAGCTGACAGCAGAATTAAGATGAGGGCATAAATAAATAAGGAAATCAAAACTATGAGAGCATACAGGAGGAATAAAAAAAAACCCATGAAGGATTGTACATATGTAATAATAGTATACAGCCATGTCAAACACCAGAGCTGATGTCCTTCACTTTGATCAAAGAGTAATATAGTAATTATGACTTAACTCCATCTTTTCATAAACACTCCTGAGCTGGAAAACTACTGAGTGCTCTTAATATAAGCTAAACCAGCCCTAGTAACCCCTCTAGAACATCAATAATCAGTTTATAAGTTCCCTTGTGCCTTGATTTCCATGGCCTGGCTCCTGTTGAAGGGTACACAGAGTTTTCTGTGGCAGTGCAGATCCTAAGTCTACTGTAAATCATCTTTTGGCTACTTCAGAGCTGGGAAGAGGATGGTCTTGTGAGGCCTCAATTACAGACTTTTAGTTATATTCACAATGTCTCATAAACAGTGGTAGGTTAACAGAGCTGACTAGCAACCTCCATCCCTTAGTAATAGCTACTGAAACCCTCAAGCCTCATACTTGTTACTCTGCTGAGGTGAAATTCATCACTGAGATGCCAAATAAGCAGTGCCTCTGCAGCACTCCATTGCATGGCAGTACCTGAAAGGAACAAAAGAATTCCCTCTGACTTCATCTGTGCATTAGCTCAAACCTTTAATTTTCTGCGTCTCTTTACTAAAAAAAAGATGAAAAAGAAAGGGAAATGCAAAAGTACATCAGTGGTATTTGCCAGTAAAACTTGCAAACCATCTGCCACGCAGTTAGGACTTGATCCAAAGTCCACCGACGTCAGTGGGCTGAGGATCAGATCCTTATTCAGCTTTTGGAGCTAATTCACCTTTGAACTGACAATTGTATATTTAGGCTGCAGTCTCCATATATATGTTATTTGCCTCAAAGCTCTATCCAGTCAAGTTTTGAATACCTCCGAAGATGGAGATTCCACAGCCTCTCTGGGCCTCTGTGTCACTGCTTGGCCATTTTCATGATGAAAAAAAAAATCTCTAGTACCTTAGAAATATGGATGTGCTGGTTTTGGCTGGGATAGAGTTAATTTTCTTTATAGTAGCTAGTATGAGGCTATGTTTTGGATTTGTGCTGGAGGGGTGCACAAGAAGCTGGGAGGGGACACAGCTGCGACAGCTGACCCCAACTGACCAAAGGAGTATTCCATACCATGACATCATGCTCAGCATATAAAGCTGGGGGACATTTGGAGTGATGATGTGGGTCTTCCCAAGTAACTGTTACGCGTGATAGAGGCCTGCTTTCCCAGAGATGGCTGAACATCTGCCTGCCAATGGGAAGTAGTGAATGAATTCCTTGTTTTGCTTTGCTTGCATGCGCAGCTTTTGCTTTACCTATTGAACTGTCTTTATCTCAGTAGATGAGTTTTCTCGCTTTTACACTTCTGATTCTCTCCCCCATCCCACTGTGGGGCAGTGAGTGAGCAGCTGCGTGGTGCTTAGTTGCTGGCTGGGGTTAAACCACGACAATGGAACTTTGCTTTTTTTTTTTTTTTTTCAAAATCACATGAAAAGCTCTCCTATTTCATAATGCTCATAATAAAAACAAACAGAAGCAGATAAAGAAAGACCCATATATTGAAAAGAACCAAGAACAGAAGACATGAAAGGAACTTAGATTTGACTATGTCAAAACAGACATAGAGCTGAAAACTGTTGACTTTTACACAAATGTGCTCAGACAGCATCTTGCTGAGAAACCGCTCACCTGATCTCGGGAATATGGAGTATCCACTATGTGTTTGTCTGAACATGCTGCTAGAAGAATCTTCATTCCATTCAACTGGAGCAATATTTCACAAGCCATGGTATCAAAGAAAGTAATATTGGCAAGAGCTGCTGAAGCCAGCAGGAAAACTTCACCAGATGAGGCTTCTTGGCACAGTCCTAGGAATGCAGAAAATAAGTTGAATAAAAGTCATTCCTTCATTGCAAAAAAAAAAAAAAACCCAAACCCAAACATGGTTAGGTGTTTCAAAGCAATACTTAGGCATCTTGGTGCTTAGGGACATGGTTTAGTGGTGGACTTGGCAGTGCTAGGTTAACGGCTGGGCTTGGTGATATTAAAGATTTTTCCAACCAAAATGATTCCATGATTCTATGATTCTATCCGCAACTTGCAGTAGTAATCTTAGTATCTAAAAGCAAGTTCATAATTATCAAGATAAAAAGACAAAACAAAGAAAATAATCTTAATTTTGTCAATTATATAATATGTCACATAGTTAGGGTGCTTTATAAGTGATATTAACATTAGGTACCTTCATTTGAACCACAGAAGCAGGGAAAGGTAAATATGAATCTAGACATCAAGTGTTTCTAACATTCATCTAATTAATGAGATGGTCTACCTAGTATACCATTCTACAGGGAATATTCCATTGAATGTTGTTCAACATAAAGCTTGATATAACTAAATAAAATTAAATACAGGAAGCAGAAGCCTAACGGTAACTGATCCATAAGAGAATAATTCTGCTATATATCCTATTCTTTAGAACAAGATACGTATACATGTTGCCTATCTCTAAACCTATTTCTCAATGGTCAAAGATCATCCTGCATATTTTCCAGCTTCAGTAAGAAGTGCTGAAGACACAGCTCTCTTTCAATTCCTTGCACACATGTATTTTAACTAAGATCTGAATCACCTGGCAATTGGATTTCAACATGGTTTAAAAATTAAACATATTACAGTAATTCAATTACTGAGTTATAAATATTACAAGAAAACTGGTGTGTCATTACTGAAAGGGCTCTTCCATAGTTATACATGTTCTATTTTTAATGCTCAGATTTCTTGGGCAGAGTATGTACTACTAAAATTCCTGTGGAACTTAAACAGTGACAATCGGGGAAATGCTCCACCTGCTAATATCTTCTGGATAGGCTGTTCAGATTGTCCCTTGACTGTGATACACTGTAATAACCTGTCAAATCATCTCAAATAAGTCAGGTCAGATGCTGCTAGCAGTCTAGCTACAGCAGAATCAAGCTCATCACAGGTTAATTCCATGCACTGGATTCAGGACAGGTTCAGGGCAGAACCTTCAATATTGGTTGCTGGACAGTCTGGTTATCAGGAATAAATTGTTTCCATGATTTCTGCAGCACTGGTTCTGTTTGGGCATATCAAAGAATGCCTAAATACATCTCAGATAATTCTCAGCCACTGCAGAATCCTCAGGAACTGGCACTACTATACTCTTTTCTTGTTCTATTTAAAAAAAACAAAAACAAAAACAAAAACAAAAACAAAACAAAACCATGCATGAAAATTGAAGTGCTGTAGTTTAACTGTAACCATTGGGCTCAGCAAAGAAATATCCAGACATATTGATCTATGAGAAATCAAACTAGATGACCCAAACTGTATTTTCTGACATGAAGCTCTGGGAAATTCTGAATTTCCAGATCAGAGAGAGGAAAGAATGTTTGACTGAAAGCTTCTGGTATTTCAGAGGGATGGAGCACAGTGCCAGAAATAAGGGATTCTTCTCTTTAGAAGTCATGAGAAATATCATCTTCTTTTTCTGAGGTGTCCTCACTGACCCAGGTTAAGGGAAAGCTTGCTGTTACCTTTGCCTCATTTTACCATAGATCAGAGGCCTAGACAAGAAAGACACCTTTTATTTTCTTGTAACAATGCCCATAGATTATACTATACTATACTTTTCCTCTGAAGTATGCTACAAATGTAGATGCAGTGGTGAGCTTGAGTTCTAGCAAGTTTAGCAAATACAACAGGCATAAAGGTTAGCAACTATTAGAAACCGGTCTTTTACAGACAAAACATGGGAAAAGAGGGTACTTTTCTGTGGCTTTAATGGCAGAATTTCACACAGATATTATTTCGACAAATATGCATAAATTCTATTCAAATATGGACTGGAGTAAAAAATATTATGTAATTGCAGAATAACCTGATTCAGAATTAAAAAGGACTGAGTTCTTTTATATGTTAAGGAAAGAATGGCAAACATTATTTAGGGAATATTTCTAATGAAAGAAAGTCCTACCCCAACCTGTCATTTTAACTGGAAAGACTCTGAAGTCCCATAAAGAACTTACTGACAAGTGCTGTTACAATTTCTTCCATATTTTCCAGAAAGCTGCTGAGATGCTGAGTGAACGTGAGATGTGGAGATGTGATCTGTGCAATAACTGCTGCTGCTTCTGCATGAGTAGCTTCAGAATGGGTGTTATCAGTAAGAATGTCAGCCAGGCACAGTATCCCATCAACCTATGGAAAAACAATAGGCATCGCTTGGAAATACTCCAGGAAATACTTTTGCAACCAAAGATGGGTTTACAGTTCTCTTGGCTGTGACGAAACGACTCAGTTTGTTTTCAAAAATGACTTAAACCTGGTGGCATTTATGACATGAGAAGTTTAAATTTCGCAAATACAAATGGGTTCAGCATAAAGGTTTGTTGACCAGCAGAAAGTCTTGCACTTCCTTCTCCATTAATGCTTCTGGTGAACTGATTTTGGTCAAACAAAGTCTTGTCTGACAGACGTCTCAAGCTAAACATTAATCCAAAAATAAGCTCTGATAAGCAAGTGCTAATTGCCACAGCCAATGATCAGAGATTTTAGAAATTTCACGGAGTAACTGTTCTAAAAACTGGCCTTATTTATTTATTTATTTGGAGTTCGGAAAAAAATGAGGGGTCAATTGCCTTATATTTTGCTTGGACGCTTTATAGATACAAAGAGGAGTTATGAAGGCTTAGCACTGGAATATACTTTAACAGTCAAACAAACAAAAAAACCCACCACATTTGTGTTGTACACTCACTAAGACTCTTTCTTAGGTCTGTTGTTCAGACTGCATTCTCTGTCTATTCAAAGCTTCCTCAGAACATGCACATTAAGTCCTATCCATTATCTCCACAAAGGGTATTTAGCAAATCTCTTATTCATGTTTTTGTTATTTATTAATACAGAAGGTTGAGTTATCTTAATTACTTATCCTGCAATGGGCATGAATTAAATTATTTGATAAGCACTGACAGTTACTGTATTTTACAAGAAAAGCTCTCAGATTGATGGGAGCAAAAATTACCCTCTGGAAGATCATTCATTGGGATGCACTTTTTAATAGGCAATAGACTATATCATTGGAACTCTAATAACATAGATAAATACAAAAGAAATTATATCTCTATTTTTCCTCAGATTACAAATGGGATTTAGTATAGAAGCTCAAGTACTGGCAAGAAGAGGAAGAATAAATTTTCAACATTAAACTTTTTCTTGACAAGCTTTCAACATTAATCTACCTACACCAAAATATTTCCTCCTAGTTATGGCAGAATTCTACAGCTTGAAACAGCAGATTCACATAATTCACTTGGCTTCAAGGTATATTAATAGATCTCAGTGTCAAGAATTAATATATGTCCTCACAAGATGATTTAGTAGCCAAAGTGTGCTAGACAATATCATATGCAAAAACCCCCAACTTTGTCACCTTGAAATCTCCCCAGATCACACCTTGTCTGGGGTCCAAAGGACGCTAATACCAACAGTCAGTATAAAAAGTTAAATATATTCCAAGGCATTAAAAAAATAGTTCACAAGAAACTTCTTCAAAGATCTGGTAACAGGATACAGCAATCTTCAGCTCTGAATTTACTGGTTAAAATTCACTTCGCCAACTCTTATTCAATGACCTCGACAAAATGACTTTAGAGTAGTTTTATGCTATTTCAGAACAAGTAATGGCTTATGAAAGACAGGTACAAGCACATGGTTAGATTTTTCCGTCACCACTGATTGTTTATATCTACACTATGAAATAGAAGCTTCTAACAATACGAGGGCTGTACTCAACTTTTAAATTACATATTTGATTTTTTTTTATTTGTTAAGTACTTGTTTTTGGAAATTGGGAGTTGCTGGATTGTAAATAGAAGTGGATATATGTTTTTATTCAGCATAAAGATAAAATACATATTTTGGACCCATGAAAGCCAGCACTAGTTAGTTTTTCTCCTTTCCATTCAGAATCATGTAAAATACTAACAAATTCAGCCTAAAATTTGCTCTATACACTTTTGTCTCCCATCTTAAATATAGAAAATAAAATAAAATAATTCTACTCCAGCAGGCAACCCCATTTATAAGTGTCTAGCAATAAATTTTAAAATGACAGGGGAACAATCTAATAAAAGCACTTTAACATCCAAAAAGAAATTGCTGCTCAAAGCATTTTTATAATTAGCTTTCACACTGAAAGGAACTTTGGATGGCTGCCCTGTTTTCTGTTTAATTTTGGTGAAGTAATCAGCTAAATGTCAAATCTGTTCATCACCTTGGCAATACAAAAGAACCAGTTAGCCAGATAATGCAAACAAATGAATTCTATGAATGCAACAAGATGCTGTGTAGACCCTGCATTTGAGGAATGGCGTTCAGTAAATGCTTGATCACTAATATTTCAGTATTGATAACTGGAAAAATGCCAGGAACTTACATCCTTATAAGCATAGCCCTGTTATAGAAACTTAATCCAAGTGACAAAATAAATACGTGACCACTTTACTGCATAGATCAAGTCTTATGAAAGGAAATAATTTCTTTTCTCTTCAACAGGAAAGAATGAGTTCTGGGGCAGCCCTCTTCTTTCTTCAGTGTACCTGTTCTTCCTCCTAAAAATAGTAAATAAAACTAGACATCTATTAAAGATACCAATACTGAACTTGGGATGAATTGCATTAGTGACTTCATGATTTGAAATATTACACACAATAACAGTCTTAACTCCGCTTTCCACAAGGAGGTTCAAGGCAGGCTTTCCATGCCACTCCAGGAACCAAGACCCATTGCCTTCTTTTTAATAATGTCTGTCTTTATTTGTATAAAATGCTGCCGAAGGCCTTTTCTCATACTATGACTTTCTCTAACATTCCTGTTTGCCCACTCTCAACGCTCAGATGATCTCTACATATTGGTAAACTTTCTCAAAGTTTTTTTTTTTTGCATTCTCTAAATTGATCTCCCAAGTCATCTTGCTGAGACTTGCAGGCTATCGGCTGACTGTCAAATCCATGGATAACACTATCAGCCTACAACTGGGTGCTTCTGGTAAGCAGCACCAGCTGATTGCAAAGCAGTTTTAAAGGAAGAATGGAAGGGAGATGCTAAGATCCAGATATAAGACAGCAAATGTGGAAACAAAATCACAAAGGGGATCACCTCTTAAATGTTGCCTCAACCTTCCCAGGAGGGTAGAGGAGAATTTCAAAAGCAGAGACTGCATTAAACAGTCAAGAACTGACAGATCAGAGTTGTGTTTGTTTTACCCTTTCACACACGTTGTGTATTTGCACCTCCAACTTGAAGCTAGGACAGGTTAACTATATAGGTGAAGACATGAACATTAGCAGACTAAATAGAGACTGCATAGATGGATAAAAACCCAAAGACATTAACATTTATAGGATGAGAAAGAGGGAGACAGAGAGGGAAGGAAGGAAAAACTATCATATTCAGAAAATGTTTGAATCCCCTGCTCAGCATTCTTTGAACACAATCTACTTCACTCCCCAGACCATCGCATGAACCATGAAGTCACTCCACTATTCTGCAACCCCACTGAAAATGTCATCCAGCAGAATCCAGATATCATTATTTTGATGACTTGTTGCTCATTAAATGAATTCCTGATCGTTAAGGCTGAGGTATATCCTATGTCAACTTCTGTAACTTATTCTGTACCTGTAGAAGGCCTACAAGTCTTGTTTAATTTCTACATTGAAAGAAAGGAAGGGAAAAAGACAAAAATATTCTACCTTGCACACAATGATCTTTCATATTTGAACAGTTGCCCTGCCAAGTGCTCGGCAGATAAAAACTTCCTTAGTTCCACTAACTGAGAACTGTGCTGATTTATACCAGATGAAGATTTGGTCAGCTATTTTTAAAGTGAGATGATATATTAATAGAGCGATGCCATTAAAATGTCCGCAAATACTATTCCAAGTAATCAAAGCTACTGCAGCAATTCCATGGCAGCAGCAGTGACCAGTGAACAAAACTGCAATGGTTTTTATAACTACTGCTGTATAACAGTGGCCATGGGACCTAATTTATAAGCCATATTGTATACTCTACAGAATAGTGTGGGGCTGAATAAAGGTTGAATGGTTCCTATCTCAATAGCTTTAAAACTGCTGGTGATAATCTTAGCTTTGTATCTAAATTGGCTGTGAGTGGGTGCTTTGGTTCATGGCAACTTCAACTAAAGCTTCCCTTTTAAACTTCCCTCCTTCAGAATGTGGTCAAGCTAATGAAGAGGTATTTGTTCTTCCTTGTGTTTAGCCATCAAGGGGCAGTGTGAAGATGATCTGATCTATATGAGGAATGTTGTTGTATGGCAAGAAAAAAAAATTGCTCAACCTTCTCTGAAAAAAAAGGAGACAGTTGGCTGTATCAGCTTAAAGGGTGCATTAAATGTGGCAATACCTAAATAGCAACCTTACAGCCATGCTGCAGGAAGAAACAAACTGCAGAGCAAGATGAAATAACAAGTTCCTTATTCTGGGCTGACTAGGAGTGAAAGGATAAATAGTATTTCTATTAGGATAAATAGTTTTCTCCCTACTAGACCTAGGAAAAGCAGTCAAGTAGTCACCTCACACTGCATATTCTTTGGCACGCCGAGATGCTCTAAGCTGGTTGCAGATAAAAAGTAAAACTGTTTGTCAAAGAGGTAATAGAGAATAAGTCATTTTACAGAAAGAATGGACAAAATCAATAAGATCAACATCCAGGCTTCTTTCTTGTCTTCACTTCAAGGATAAGGGAATAGCTGGCTTTGAACTCCCTCAATTTTGAGGATTGATATGAAGGGTAAGACAGTCTTTCAAAGTATTATTTCTGTAGTTGATAAAAGAAGCCAGGAACTGCACTGCTATTAGCCTAGCAGCTTACATATTCCCATTCGCGTAAATCACAGCTTACATTGCTTCAAACTACCCTCTACAAGCATAGGTGAACCACCCAAGCATACATTCAACTTTCCTGATCTACTCCTCACATGCCTCCTATTCTACACGATAGCTGCTGAGTGGCTACAAAGGGCAGAAGGAGAAGAGACTGCAACGGAATCCACTTGCAGTTATGTAGAAGTCATCTGTAGTTCAGACCCTTCTACTCAACCACTGTTGGTGTTTATAGAATTGGGATGCATTGATAAAACAGAAGGAAAACTACTGAGCACAAATGAGTACGGT